ACGCAAGGTGATACAACGCATAGTAATTCGATATGTGGCGAATTCAATGCATAACGATGCAACGCATGGCGATATAACGCGAGATAACTCAAGGGATCGTGAATTCAATTATGTGAGGATATAACAAGTAGCAATAAAACACGTAGTAATTCTACATACAGTGAATCTAATGCATTGCAATGTAGATCATAGAGAATCTACCCAGTGGCGATATAACGCGAAGAAAGTTTAACGCGTGACAAATTCAACGCATCATAACTTAATGCGTGGTGATACAACATATGACAAATTTAAGATGTAGAAATTCTAAATTATGATTATCTAACACGTGGTGAAATAAAGCATGGCAATGTAACGCGTGGCGATATAACACAAGGCAAATATAATATGTGGTATTCTAAAGTATAGTGATTCAACAAGTGGTAATCGAACACGTGACCATTCAATAGTAATAGTCTAACATTTGGCAATATACCATGTGGCTATATAACATATGGCACTAAAACGAAATACCATATGTGACAAACTTGAAGAGTGACAATTTAATGAATAATCCCTTACATAATTTAATAGTGATCCCTAATGATATAACGTGACCCTAGAATTTATGGTGATATAACGCGTGGCGAATCTAATAGTTGGTGATATAACGCGTGGTGAATCTAATACGTGGTGATATAATGCATGGCGAATCTAATGCATGTAATTCAACTTGAGATTATTAAAGTCCGACCAACTTATTACAATCAAATTCATGACGATTTAACTTAACGTAATTAGCTTTGTAATTTCACGATCACGTAATTCAACACCTAACCTAACACAGCAATATGCGGCGACTTAAATCCCCTAAATAAAATTCCTAGTTATTACGCCAATGGAACCTGGCAACAAAATTCGAAATCGTTCCCCGTAACCGCATTGTTGCCATAAAACGCGATGTTCTCGAAGATAAAGACAGTATTCTGGTTCACCGATTTTCGATCTCGCAACATTTCTCTGCATTTACGAAATCATCGCGGCGATGCACGGTGACTATTTCATCGGCGATAGAGGAGCAACCATCGATTCGATCAATTGATCGCGACGCAAGAATATAAAACTGTAGAATGTAGGTCTCTCCAAGTAATTCCTGGCCGTTCTTTACACTCGTTTAACCGGATTTTTCTTTGTGACGGAAATACAGAACGTTGCGATCTTAGGTAAGTACTTGAAGAAAAGAACTTCCTTCTTCGAGCACGATCGCAACGTGACGTATCGATGCGTCAAAGATGTATGAGTATCGTTGGAACTCTACATGCTCAGCAATGCACATAAATAAAATATTACTATCTCCAAACTATCCTATACACACATGCAATTATTAAATTTATTTTGCTCTACGTATAATACATTTTTAACAGCACAATTTGGATCAATATTAATAATAACAAAATATAATTAACAGTAGCCTTGTGTTTAAATAACATTAAATTTTTGAAGGAGAATAACGTTTTATACAAGGTTTAAAACCCATCGATACTAATTGTAAGCCGCATATCCACCTACAGCCTAATCGATCATTCCTTGCCCGGCAATTAATTTGTTATTGAGCAACGAAACAAGTGTTACAGTTTACCGTTACAGGGTTTCAAAGTATCTAAAACGTGTGTACGCAATATCACCCGCGTTTCACTAATTTTCGCACAACTGTTCGAAAAGCCTGCAAGAAAATTGTGCCGGACCGGTTCTCCCACATGTAAAGATTTTATCTTGTCTTTTAGATAGCAAACAAAATGTAAGATCGTTTATTTCGTGCTCGATAACGCAAATGGTATTTTAAATATGTATAAGGTGTCTAACGATCGAAATGCATGTTTCTGAAATATCTTTGCTTTAATATTCAGACACGAACCTTGGGTTATTGATTTCTATTGCAATTGATATTATCATAAATATTTTATATCAAGAATTTTAATACAAGGAGCTGGGAATCTTAAGATTTCTGTCTAGGTATATTGGTATTTAGTAACTTAGGGTTTTGTTTAGGGATTTTTGGGTTGAGGGATATTTTGATCGAAACATCTTTGGCCCGAGAGATTTTTTAGATCTAGGGATTTTTGAAGCTATGGTTTTTTGCATCTAGGGATTTTTGAATCTAGGGATATTTGAATTTGGCGAATTTTGGAACTAGGATTTTTGCATCTAGGGATTTTGTGGATTTAGGGGTTTTTGGATCTAAGAATTTTTGAATGTAGGGATATTTGAATTTAGGGATTTTTGGATCTAGGGATTTTTGGAACTAGGAGTTTTGCATCTAGCGATTTTTTGGATTTAGGGGTTTTTGGATCTAAGAATTTTTGAATGTAGGGATATTTGAATTTAGGGATTTTTGGATCTAGGGATTTTGCAACTATGATTTTTGCATCTAGGGATTTTTTGGATTAAGGAATATTTTGTCCAAGAGATTTTCAAATCTAGGGACTTTTGGTTTGGTGATTTTTCATTGTGAGACTTTCTACTCTAGGGATTTTTAGGTTAAAAGATTTGTTGATGTAAAGATTTCTGTGTCTAGGATTTTTTTAGGTCCAGAGAAGTTCGGTTCTAGTGAATCTACAATTGAAGATTAAGTAATCTAGGGATGCAAAAATATTTTCAATTAACAGTATTGGATTATAAAGATCATTGAAACTAGAATCAAAAATATTATAGAGGAAATCATCGACCAAAGGTGAACGATCTATTGAAAAACTTTGCACGACTATAAAAGTAGTCAAAGGTCATTGTTCAAAAATATCATGGTCACGCGAACTAATCGAACACCTCGTGCCAATACAGTGAACAACGAAGAAAGTGTCGAAGATCGTAAAATAATAGAGATGGAGATAAAAAATCGTGCATATCAAACAATAGTAGTCATTGCAAGGAATGATGCGAAACTATCAAAAAGAAAGGCGGGGAAAAACACCTGTTTATCTCTATCCAAGCTGTCATAGGGACATTTGTTGAATAATTTACGCTAACGAACAGAATCGTGCAGAATATCGATAGAATATACGATTGATCGGTTTCTAATGATCCGTAAAATGAAACTGGGCCGATCAATTGAAAAAGGCCGCCGCAGATTTTCTATGTTAATTTATGGACTACCTGATCGAACTCGGTGCGCAGTAATTTACCAACAATCGCATTGTAAAACTATTCATGCATTCCTCTGCGTGCGTACACACGTGCAATGTTCACGAGAGCGGAATGTCAAAAGCAAAAACGAAGTGCGTCAATGAAGGAAATCTCCCTTATTGTACGCGAGATATGGAGAGTGACGCCTGTGAAGGATCCGCAAATTGAACCGGTGTTAATGACCTTACATTTGTATTCAACTCACCACTAAATCTAACGTCGATTTCTAATCGTACCTTAAAATATTAAACGATCAAATTTTGCTAGAAATTAACACTCATTTGCATGAAAATCAAAGATGACACCTGTATGAATTAGTGAGCATACAAATTTTTGAATGATAAAAATAAAATAATTTGAGGGATCTGAAGTTTCTAGGCAGTAAAATTACGTTACGGACGGGTTTTAGGTCCCGCGAAATTTACGAGGATATTTTGTTTCTTTTAAAGCCGGAACTTTCAGTCGGTCGAAGAACCAGTAAGTAAAAGCAGAGGTACGCTCGGAGTACAGCTGTACACGAGAAAGTCAAGAGCGTGGATTCCATGGGTTAACCATGCTCGAAGAAGGATATCTCACGGGCCAGTTAGCCTACTTACGACGAGCGGGACTTGAAATTCGTACCGTGAACGTCACGACCGGTTCCCACTCGTTTCGATTAATATTGGACGACGCTACTACGAAAAGGAATCCATCACGAGTAATAATGTCCGAGGCGTCGGTTTACCTAACACTTGCGTAATAAACTATAGATTAGGCATCGACACTATGGGAGTTCGAAGAGATTTCAAAATCTGGTCTGTGTCACTTTCGAGCAGAGAAAGTCGTGCAATTCATTTTACCGTCCATGGAACGATTTATGGAAAACTTTCGTTAGAGATCAAAGCGTTTAGAAATTGCAGAATTAGAAATTATTGGTATGAAATTAACACTTATAACTGTTATTTTACATTCAATAACGAATTATCACCTTCTGTACTTATTTCGATCTAATATGATAATTAACTTTTTGATAAGTATTCAACGCGGAGCAACGCAAATTCAAATTCGATCACTGCGCATGCGCACAACGATCAAGCCGCGCAGGTACAGTCAATACACAGTTTAAAGTAATTTCCAAGAAAAAATACACAATTTTGTATCAACACTAGTGAAGCTTAATTTAAAACACGATTTTTGGCAATATTTCTACTAACAATTATTGCTAATAATACTAAAGTATTATTTTACAGTTTATAACATGAACTGCGCCAGTAGCAGACGCCAGCTAGGTCGTCTGCTAGAAACAGCTGACAGCTCCACCGGATAAAAACGTGGTTTCGTGAATTTAATTAACAGCATTATACAACAGATATCAATTCACATGATTATATTTCAGAAATTTAAATGACAATGTACATAAATAAAATAGCAGCTTACTTTACGTTCAAACTTCTGTAACGAATCACGATTTACCGACACTTCTTTAGACATTATGTAATGTACAAAATTTCACTGATCGACCAAAAGTATTCGTATCGCGTAATTCGTTCGTTTACGCTGTTATTTCGTGATCTTTCATTTAGACATTTGTAAAACTCAATGTATACAGCTACAAAAATTATTAAAAGCAACGCTAGAATAAGTTTTACGTTCGAACAGAGACTAGGTTATGTCAGTGATAACACACGAGTTTATAGTAATATTTTACTAAAAATGAATGAAACGAATGGAATTTATGTACGCACGAGAAAATACCGATGCCGAACTAATACGGGTGTAATTTATTATTTTAGCGCGAAAAGTATATGTTGTTTGCTGATAAGATTTATTGGCATTGATATAAAACAGCGGAAATAACATACCTGACAGTGTTGCACCAAAGCACTGGTCGGTTGTTCGATTCTGGGTCGTGACTTGACACATGTTGTTGAAACTTTCCTCCGTAATTGGGCGAAATGTCCGAACTGGCACAATTTCTCTGCACGAGCACAGAGCCTACTCGACCCTATACACGCCATAGCGAAAACTGTAGTGAGCCGAGTCACACAACTCGTAGACTTTCGAGTTCCCTTAATCCCCTCCGATATACTAAAATCTCTCCCCACTAACATTTCCCTTTCCGTTCCACGCTTGTAAATATACTGTATGCGGCATTAATCCGAACAAATTATGAAAGACTTTGATCAACGAGTATTTTACAGACCTTAAAAACAATGTTATTAAATTATAACTTTATCAGCGACCTCTGTTCAATATAAATTTGAAATGTCAACTTATCGATTAAATAAACTCTCGTAATATTATGCATCGATGAGAACAAATCGTTTCAAATAATACAGCAAATTTCTTTTTTAACAAAATTGCTCTTTGAAAAAAGTAACTGACCTTGTTAATAATTTTGACTATTTAAAAAGTTAACATAGTTTTCTGTTTCAATATGATAGTCGTGTAAATTTAACTTTTGATATGTATATCATTTTGAATATCTCGAATAATCGTTTATATCGCGCTAAAACTGTGAATTAATGGTTAGCTCTTATGTAAATCGAACTTGAGGCAGACTTCATTACTATGTCAATCTATATTAGTCTATAGTCTATGATATTTTACAAACATGGCGAACAGTCTGTGGAATAGGTTATCTCAAGCATTTAGAACATTTGATCAAGCAATTGATATTATTTTTGGTCGCGGCTTTCCGCCAGGTAATAAGGAACAATGTTGCATGTTGTAATCATAAGTGGTTGTGCAACAAGACTTTATTAAGGAAAAATTTTATTCGCATTGTTATTGTTAACCTCTTAAACTTGTTATGTATTAAAATCGCTTATAAATGTTTGAATTTTTAAGTGACAAGCAATTAATTAAATAATGTAATGTATTCTTGTTATATTATGTAGGCACTCTATATGCAATTGATTGTAATCATGCTGTAAGGCAATCGCAGCCTACTAATTTCCCTGGACAATCTTTAAAGGATATATTAAATGATGCATTTTTATGGGCTGTTCCAAAGCACCGACGGACTATAGAGAAAAGATTAAATAGAAGATTTGGTGTCCCTAAATATCATTGGAAGCCGCATGTTCCTAAAACTATTTTAACGTGTTACAAATGTGGTCATCCTCACGAAATTGGATTACTTTGCGGTACGCTCTATAAATGATATGTTTCCAAAGAAATAATATACGATACCTTGGAATATACTTGAATTTCTTAAATTTTTAAAGGATACTGCTATGAGATAGTAAAAAAAGAAACAACAGAAATGCAAGAGGCAATACAAAAGGAATTGGGATTAAGTCCAGTAGAAAAAGATGTTATAGTGTTATATGAAGGGGAAAAAGAACAGTTATCAGAAGAATTTTGGAAGGTATTTGATTTAATTGTAATCTTGATTATAATCTGTAGATTCAGATGCAATGTAGAATTTTCAAATATGTAAATTAAAAAATTTAACTAGTATTTTTTAACTAATATATGAACATATTTTTATTTAGAATCAAAGGATTGTTGAATTACCCAAAAAGAGGCCTGAGTGGTTCAACCAAAATTTGTTACAACCAATGTCACAGGAACAGTTAGAAGCAGATGAAAAATCCGAAAATGAGTTTTTAGAAAACATAAAAAACAATTAAAATATTATAAGGTACTTTGTTTATATCTAGTAAATTTAAGGAAATAAATTGACCAAAAGAATATTAGAAAGAAATTTTAATAAAAATATTAACCTTCTTCCTTTTATTTATAAGGGTGGCATTTTTACATTTGTGTAAGTCGTAATAGTATTACAAATTTGTTTTGTGTTTTTAGCTCATGAAAAATAAATACCACAGTGATAACAATCACGTCCATCATTATTTATATAATGATCCATTGCAGTATAACTTTATACGCGATATTTAATTAAATCTATTAAATTTTTTATGGATCAATAGCTCATAAAATTCAATAATCAAAAACATTTCTAATCTTGTTATGATTAACATACTTCAGAAAATATACCAAGTATTTACATTTACCTTCTACTTTCAAAATACAATTTCCTTAATAGTTGACCACCATTCGAAACGACTCCAGTTTTTAAGAATTGGTGGGAATAACGACGGCTAACTTTCAAGGAAATTGAAATATAATATATAAAATTATTGAAAAATTAAAGGTACTATCAGTTTCCATAATCCGCATTTCAAACAACTATCAGTAAATAAAATAAAAACCGTCTACAGATACAGCAGTGTGAATTAGTTTTTAAATACAGTGGCGCGATATGTCGGGTACACAGCTTCGGAAGAATTCGGGTGGAATCGGGCAAGAATCCGTATCTGTAATTTCCAAACGTTCCAATTTTCCTTTGGATTCTTGTCACTCACCTTTTCCGAATTTTTCCCAACTTGACTCGGACGGACCCGCATATCCCTACTTCAAAACAATTTTCAAATTTCTGCTAAGCTCTATATTAAGAGAATTATTACAAACATGAACTTTATCGTCGTAAACAGTAGAGCGCTCTCAATATGCAATGTTTAATTTAACACGAACGCAAGTTGATAAGAGACAGGTACATTAAACGTTAAACGTCACATTTGATATTCGTAGACAAATTCGTCATACAATAATATGGGAGTATGCCATATTCAGCAACGAAAAATAATTCAACCTGGACGGGCCTGATGATTTTTGTTGTTATTGACAAATTATTAATATGTACATTACTTCCATGGCTTATTAGAATATCGAACCTCTGAATGTTTCTGAAATTGTAATTATCCACACCACTGTAAATTTTTGTTTTCAAAGTGACCTAAAACGTGCTCATGAAATTCTGCAAATAATGCTTTCCCAAAAAATGAACCACACAAGGGACAAATTTTTTTGTCCTGTTCGGCATTATCTGTTGAATTAGAACTTTTATCTAAGGACAGACTCGAATCTTGAAGGCTGGTTTGAGTCGCGCCATGTTCTTTAATACTCTCCTTAAAATCAAATTGCGTACTTGCCTGACACATCTTTTTATTTGCGTTAGTGCGACAATTATTGCACATTACACCTACCAAATAAAATATAAAATTAAATTGTTTTAAATGACTTTACTCAATATTAGATAATGGTATACATACCTTCTTTCTTCTTTAAGTTCTGTAATGCTCTTTTTAATTTGGTTTGCTGTGTTAATAAAGTATTTTTCATTTGTGACAATCTAATATCATGTTGTTTTAACAATTCTAATTCTGTATCTGAATCCTCTGGATAAGTAAAACCAATATGTTGCAAGTTTAATTCACTACTGTTTTGTAATTCAACCATCTACACAAATCATTATAAATATTATCATATTTAAAAATTAACTTATTATGTCACTTGCTTACCTCTGCATATTGTTGTTCAAGGTCAGATTTCTCTAACATAATACTATTTATAAGCCGAAGGGATATTTCTTCTAAACTTTGTTCCTTCTCATCTAAATAAATATGTATGTATTTATATATCCACATAGCTTGACATTAATACTAAATTACTAAATAGGTTGCACTGCAATACAAACCATTGTTTGTATTTAATGCACACTGCTGATTATCTTCTTGTTTGGAAAGATCACGAAAATTATATGAAACAATTTCTGATGGTTGTGCTGGAGAATGTTGTTTTAATGTATCAGAGATGTTTGTTAACTGGTTTCCTAAAGATTTATTAGTCCTCGTTAATTTTGTTAACCTGTTCCATAATTGACGATTTTCTGCTGCTACCATAACAATTTGATGAGTAAGCTGAGATTTCTGTTTTGTAAGCTCCTCTACCTTTTCCTGTTAACCAAACTATATTAAAATATAATGTAATAAAATGTATACAAATGGTATTTCATACATTGAGATTCATACTTTACAAACCTTTAGGGTTTGTACAATTGTATTCTCATCACTGTCATTAACTTTTGTGATTGCGGCACACTCATCTTTTCCACATTTAAGTCTTAAACACTTATTCTCCTCCTCAACTGTGGCTAATCTTGTTTCTAATTGTTGGCAACGTTCGTTCAGAGTTTTAAATGCAAAATATAAGGCATAACAAGTACTGCGCTTCTTATCATATGAATTCTCTGACTGTTCCATGTCAGTCATAATACAATAACGTAATTAGTGAACATAAAACCACAATTTGATAACTTGTAAAGTTGCTAAAATTGAAACGATATTTCGATTACTCTGTAGATAAGAATACAGATGGTATAAAAAGTAGAAAATAATTTTATTTACCTACATTTCGTAAGTATACACATACCACACAAATGACAGAGAAAATGTGTGTGCATTAATTAACGATTATTACATCAAGATGTTCAAATTAGGTTAAGGTATCACGTATTTGAACATATCATTTTATAATTACTGTAATGTTTCATTACTATTCGTACATAAACTTCGACCTTTGCAACAAACAATTATAGAAAGGTATAGAAACAGTAACGACACTCATCAGTTAACGCCAATGAACAGTGTTGGGCAGCAGTGTTGGGCAGTTGTGAGAGTTTATCTCACGCGAGAGCTTTATGCGCATGCGTCAGCTGACGTCACAGCTTGCTGCCAATGCCGTACCTAGCCGGTACACGCAGTGGTGACTGATGAGGACACCTGAATGATCCTACATAATTTTTCAAAATTCACATAATTACACTGTAAACTATGAATGTATAGGTTGGGTTAGATTACATTAGGCTGGGTTAGGTTAGTTATATATATGACTGTGTAAAAGTATACAACTATATATATATATATATAATATAATATAATGGGAATAATATGATGGAATATGGGAGATTATTAAATATAAAATAACACAAAAGCACAATAACTTTTAAAACACTAAATGAATTTATTATTTAAGAGAAACGACTTGGAAGGACCTCTTTGAATAACTATATTTTATACGTGTGAAAATTATAATATCAGAGAAACAATAACAAAGAAATACATGGATTTTATTATGTTAACATGCATAAATCTGATAAAAATCGAGCGGTATCTTTTTCCTTTGCTCTTGCAACAAATATTGGTATTCATATAGCAAATCGGCTGCAAACGTAAAAAATAATAATAATCATAAATGAATTTAATATTACTTTTATTATATATAATCTGTTGTATTATTTAACCCTTTTTTTTCTCTTTCCTGCAATTTTCTTCAGATTTATATTTTTTCCTCACTAGGGCCTAATGATACCTTATATTTCATCAAAGTGTATACGCTTTTATATAATGAATATAAAAATAACAAATGAATCAATGGTGATTCCCCTTGTCAACATAAGTGCGTCATAACATTCGTAACAATTGATGTATAATTAATATTCAGCATTATGGACTTATTTTTTTATCCAATTGTAAAAACTAGACACATACTGAAATTTGTATGTCTGTTTTTCAATTAAAATGATACTGACTATTTTCTAAACAATATCGTATAAAGATAATCTCTATACCATTCTCCATTGTACACTTGGACACAGAGTATACCAGAGGCGACACTCTCTGTCGGCATTTTATACTCTCGAAAACACAGTCCCTTTAATTGGTAGTGCTAACCAGCGGGAAATTTAAATCGAGCAAATCTACTTGAGCGTCAATCTTTAATAATTTGGAATATATTTGTAATAAATTTTCTGTTTATTACTAATTACCTTTTGAGGTATTTTTATCAATTTTACGGCGTTGAAAATTTGGAAAGGAAAGAATATACCAAAATTTAAGCTAATTAGAGTTATCCTAAGGGTAGTTAAAAATTGATAATAGTTTAGTAAAGACAAAACAATTCGAAGCTAATTAATCTTGCACTTCGACGTAATTCGATTCATATTATAATTAATTATACTAATAAAGTCAACTATATTAATTGAATTTAACGGAAAAGACATATGGCGCCGTCCTGTGGCAGTGTGAAGAACTAATGAAACTGCAGTTTCAAAACCGTGTAGTTCACCCTGTTCGCCAGAGAGATGGCGGTTTATTTCATTTTCTTTGATGACGTCACTTTTTAAAAAACCGCGCGTAAATTTCAATTTTTAACAACATATAAAAAAGAAACTTTTCAAAAAATATGAAACTATTATGCGTCTATGAAAATAATGAATTAAAATAATTAATTTATATAATAATGAGTTACATTAAAATATATCGTAATATATTAATTAACAATAATTTTGCAACATATGCAACATAAAACGACGAATTTGAATAGTTACAACAATTTTATAAATAAATAACTAAAAAATTATGAATTACAATAAAATATGTTAATTGATAATCATTTTGCAAAATATCTGCAAGAGAAAATTAAAAAAAAATAATAAATTTAAATAATTGCAACAATAAATTTGTTAATAAACAATCGAAAAATATAAAATTATAAAAAAATTCATGTTAGAATAATTATAAAACCTCCAATCATAGTGGTTGCACCCTATTGGTGGATTACATGATGTCTAATTGGCCACTGTAACTACCAATCACTCATTATACTCGAAAAGGTCGAATATGATCTATTGGTGGATTATGCGATGTCTAATTGGCTACTGTAAACTACCAATCGCACTTACACTTGAAGAGGTCGCCGCTGCTCAGTTTTGTTTTGGAAGTCTCGGAGGTCGGATCGGCCCTGTCAACACTTACCGGTACGAGTCAAGGGCTTACTTTACCGATATTGTGCTTGTCCCAATGTTACCTAAAGTGCTTTAATAAGTGTTCAGTGTGTTTTAATAAATATTTTTTAATAAATATGGGGGTGTATTAACAAATTTTATGGTGTGATTCTACAAGTGTCAGTGACTTTACCAGTGTGTTTCCTGCATGCATATACGGATATATTAGTGCATCTAATATACAAGTGCTAATGTTTAGTGTGCTTTAATAAATATTTTTTAATAAATATGGGGGTGTATTAACAAATTTTATGGTGTGATTCTACAAGTGTCAGTGACTTTACCAGTGTGTTTCCTGCATGCATATACGGATATATTAGTGCATCTAATATACAAGTGCTAATGTTTAGTGTGCTTTAATAAATATTTTTTAATAAATATGGGGGTGTATTAACAAATTTTATGGTGTGATTCTACAAGTGTCAGTGACTTTACCAGTGTGTTTCCTGCATGCATATACGGATATATGTACCTAGTGTATTAATAACAGTGTTTAGTGTGCATTATTTAATATTTTTTATTAATTATGTGGGTGTATTAACAAATTTTATGGTGTGGTTCTACAAGTGTCAGTGACTTTACTTATGTGTTTCCTTAAGTGATTATGCATGCATATACGGATATATTAGTGTGTTTTATGGTGTGGTCATTTAAGTGTTTTATTAATTTTTTTTCGGAGTGATTATTTAAGTGTTTTGACATAGTGTTACTGGTGCTTTAGTGTACTTTATGCAATGGTTATTTAAGTGTTTTGGCATAGTGTTACTAGTGTTTTAGTGTACTTTACGCAATGGTTATTTAAGTGTTTTGGCATAGTGTTACTAGTGTTTTAGTGTACTTTATGCAATGATTATTTAATTGTATTGACAAACTGTTACTGGTGTTGTAATATATTTAAAAGAGTGACTATTAAAATGTTTTTACAAATGGTTATTGGTGTCATAGTATACTTTATGTAGTGGTTATTTAAATATTTTGACAAACTATTACTACTGTTTAAAGTGTAGTTACTTGCATGTTCCGGCATATTTTTGCAAACGTTCTAACATGCTCTCTAAAGTAATTACCAAATGTTTTGACATACATTTTCAAATATTTTACAATATTTCACGTTGTGACATGAACGTTTGCAAATTTATAACCGCTTCTGTAATGTACCTAGTTCTGCATGCCTATATGTTGTAGAAGTAAAAAACTTGTATGTTATCAAAATGCAAATCGATAAACACAGTTAATTAATCGTTGTGATTCTTTTATGATTACAGAAGGTCCATTGCCAAACCGCCACATCCAAATTTGATAAATGCAGCCAAGCAGCCAAGCAACCAATCAGCCAATCAATCAATCAGCCAACCAATCTCTAAGATGCAATGCCTCCCACACGTGCAGTCTCAGATGCCACCGGTAAAACGATCGCAGTGG